ATTCAGTGTGCATCACATTTTTGATGTTATTTCTTCATAGACAGATAAAATATTACAGTTATTCCTTAAATAAATATTTAAAGTTTTTATCTCATGAGTGTAGCAAATAAAGGGGACATGGCTGTTTGTAAATACATGTACAAAAGACTTCCTTTTGTATTGAGGTTAAAGAAAATTAAATTCATTTGATTTAAATGTAAATATTGAATAATGATGCCCCCATTTTAACATTGAAATGGTAATTGCTCTACTCGGGTGTCAAAAAGCTTTGTAATAAAAATCTAATGTTATAAACCTAAATGTATTTCTCATGATCATTGATAGGTAAATATCAATAGAGGGAAACGTATATATAAATATTCATTTACAAACAAAGTTTAAATTCTCTCCCAAACCATTGAAATCTTAAGAAAGGTTATTTTTATATCTAATAATAGATAAATGGCTCAATAAAGACATGAATTAGTTCTGTAAATATTACTGGACTTAACAGCAAGGCCAATCAGTGGTCACACATGAATTATATCTTACCTGTCTGATTGACAGGTGAAAAGTTGACAATAAGATGATATAATTAGGATATAACTGATCTATGACATGTCCTATTGTAGTGATTTGTGTTTATGGAAAACATGTAAAGTTTTATAAAAAATGAGATATTCTTTTTCAAAATAATAACAGTATGAAGAGGAAATATGAGAGTATTGATTATGATGAAGGTATGTCTAAATGATATGGTCCCTGTTTAGATCAAAATTACTTGTTGCGCAATATACCGGTATGCTATGGCTATTCAAATACAACTTGTTGTCAGAATTGGTTTTTGAGCATATCTTAAAATTGGCTAAAAATAAAAATCCTATCTTAAGAGAGTTGAAACACCCTTAGTAAAAAGAAAGGTCTGTTCTGGAGGATTGCAAAAATGCACTTAGAATTGATTTGTGTATGCACCTTTGTAATGCTTTGTAGCAAGGTCTAGTTTTTAAGGAAGTTTTATAATACATTAAAAGATTTACAGTATTGTAACAAAACAATCACCTGATGAAATGATCAGGTATATCTATACTTTGGTGGTCTAATAGATAAACATTGTGTCACTTTTGGTAAACAGAATGTGTATATTGTTACATTCATTCATTGTTATTATGTAGAGAGAGAGAGAAAAGGTTTAATTAAAATTACTTTTTCCAATAAGAAAATATTTTCCATTAACAAGACATCATGAGAGAATTTAACTCTGTGTAGTAAATGACATGATATTTTTAAGAATAAAATAATATGTGCATATTTGATGAATTTATGAGAGAAATTTTTAAAGAATATTTCTGCATCAATGGTATGAAGATTTTGTTTTTGTATAACCTTATAGGTGCATTTCTTTAAACACCTCTTATCATTGGAGTACGCCCCCACTCTTCATTCAAAATCTTAATAAATAAATACTTAAATCTAATCATGTTGTACCATAAACTAAGTACTGATTGAAGCATACTTTTCATCAAAGGAAAAATACATGTAGACAACAATATGTTACCATTGGGGGTGTTTACACATATTTATGATAATTTGTTGTGAATGTTTTCATTAAATTGGATTTTGATATAGTTCTAGAGAAATAAAAATAAAAGCTCATTTTGTATGAAAAAATATTTCATTATTTACTATTTATGTTCAGAGAAACTTTTCTGTTTCAGAAGTTCTTAAGCTATTAAAACATAAATTTTTAAAGACCAATCTTTTTTGATTTTGCAGAATATTAGGTTTTCATTATTTTATTTATCACAATGTAAAATACACACTTTTTATTATTGACATGTATCATGCTCAGATTATAAATTCCCATTGATTCTTTTTGTCGCATTAATTTACAGTAGGTTGTTGAAGAATATATAGAAAGTTTTGTGAATGGGAATTATGACTATTCACTACAGATGTTGTTGTACATGTATGAAGTATTAAAACAAGCTTAACAAATGTCATATATTACATTTCTTTATGTTGACTTATCTGATGTCCTAAAACAAGGGCATTTTTTCCCGCTGTTGAAATTCTATTTTAAACACCCTATAAGATAATTTCTTACTATCTTGTAAATGAATGCCAAGATTAAAGGGAACAATCAAACATCCACAATCCTAAGGCAAGGGAGTCATTTCATAAAGGATTTAAGATTTTGATATCACTTCTATTAGTTAGGCAACTAATTTTAACAGTTATTATTTAAAACAAATAATGAATATCGGATAAAATCATGTAAAAGTAAAAATAAAATAAAATTCCAAAGAAAGTCCACATATAAAAAACTAATTTGCAGAAAGCCATTACCCTAATGAAACAGAAAATTTTTGTCCATTATGAATGTTCTCTCTCCCTTTGTTGTCATGAAAGAAAATGCTATATTTTAAAAAAATAATTGAAAATGATAGGACTCTTACAATGTTACAATTTTGTAATCGGTAACCACATCATATGTGTGAAAAGTTTGATGTTACAATAGATTCTAGCCCCAATGCAGGAAGCAGTCATAGAGCAGGAAGTTTTAGGATATTTTTAGAAATACCAGGAGGCTTTCACAAAGGGCAGAAGAGATCACATCATTGTTCAAAAAGCTGTGAAAACAGTGAAAAACTGTAAAAGGCAAAATAATCAACAAGTCCAGAATTCCTAATTTGATATTTGTGTTGAATTTGTATGAAATATTTGCCACTGGATAAAAAGCAATCTATGATCAATCAATCAACCTAATTCAATTTGTGCTTGTTGGGTGACTAAACCTTGGTCCATTCTAGTTGTTATCAGACACTACATCCTTACAGCCAGGGAATTTGCTGCACTAGTTGGAAACCAGAGAGCTAACTTAATGGTCTCAGTTTTGAAGTAAACTTTTTTCTATTGGCTATAAGGTAATCTGTTCTGGAACCCACATAACTGAAAGTGACTCTGGTGTAACTGCTCCAACATGATAATTTGACTTTAAAAAAAATAACCAGGCTTTGAATAGTACCCACTGAATAGAGTTTAGTTTTACTACTGTAAATTCAGAAATTAATGCAAGGTTTTTATTAATGCGAATAATGCGACTGAAAGAGTATCGCATTAATAAGAACTCACATTCTTATATCTGATACATATAACTGTATGTACATTTTTCTGAAATCGTAATAATTAATCTCGCATTTTAGTTCTTTCTACAAAATTCGCAATAATAAATGCACGCAATAATTTCTGAATTTACAGTACTTGTAATGTGAATACTGGTAATTTGAGAAAAAAAATTGTACCATTATGAATAATAATTGTAAAACTTTAATACAAATTACTGTATAAAACATGCAAAATTCTTGGATATTATTACTTGTGAAGTTTTTTTTTTACACATTTTGGTATTAACTGTTATATACAATGTAAGTTCATAAATCAGTATGTTAAAACACAATTAAGAATGTAAAACTGTGAAAAATTGAAACATGTGAAAGTAATTCCTTTTACAATTGTTGTAGATGATGCCTTTAATTTGTGTGCCTTAGGCTATAGTCTCATTTATCACCATGAACATTTGATTGAATGAGATATTTTAGAATGCATACACATCTAAATGTAGTACATATTTAACATGAATAATACATGTATGTTATCTATGTCACATTCATTTTTGTAGAGTTCCATTCAACTGAACGTGTACAAAACAAGTTACATGTATTTTAAAATTGTTTTTATGTTTGTATAAGGAGACTGTTGAAGGGAATTTAGTATGTATACAGGAATGCTTATTCAAAAGGTGTTTCTGTATTAAATAATAAAGTAAATAAAAGCTTTTGGTCCTGTTTGATAAGATGTTTATAATAAGAAAGTAAATAAATCTGAAAGTTTGAATTCTTGAAAGCAGGGTCTTTCATTGTTCACACACAACTAAGACAGTAATCCAACAACACCAATAACAAATGAAATTTGAATTTGCCATCCTGAAGAAAATAGTTTTAAGAAAAGTCCACATAGATTGATTGGATAGTTTCAAAATGTACATTACAGGATCTATCATCTATAGGCATTATAACAAATAATAATAGCCTTATGAGTTCTTCCTATCCCTTATTGTCCCCCAAGCAACGCGTTGAGGGGGACATGGAAATATCGGGAGTCCATCTGTCCAGTATTGTTAGCGCTCTCACGTGTACAATTCTTGCCAAAATTTTATGAAACTTATATCATAGGTTTAATTCAGCAATGTCTTGGACGAGTTCGAAAATCAGTGCCGATCAATTATTTTTAAAAGAGTTATGCCCCTTGGAAACATTAATTTTATGTAAAATTGCATAGTTAGCCCTCTCATGTGTTCAATTCTTGCCAGATTTTTATGAAACTTATATCATAGGTTTATATCAGCAATGTCTTGGAGGAGGTCGAAAATCAGTGCAGATCAATTATTTTTAATAGAGTTATGCCCCCTGGAAACATTAATTATATAGAGAATTGCATTGTTAGCACTCTCATATATACAATTCTTGCCAAAATTTTATGAAACTTATATCATAGGTTTATATTAGCAGTGTCTTGGAGGAATTTTAAAATCAGTGCCGATCAATAATTTTTAAAAGAGTTATGCCCCTTGGAAATAATAATTATATGGGATATTGCCTTATGAGCACTCTAATGTGTACAATTCTTGCCAGATTTTTATGAAATTTATATTATAGGTTTATATCATCAATGTACTTGAAGAGTTCAAAATCATTTGTATCATTACAATTACCTCTTAATAGCAGTTGATAATATTTAGAAATAAAGGAGTAAAAATGGCTGATTAGTTTTGGAAATAAACTTCACAGAGACATTGCAAATTCAAGCATTGGGTATGTCTTGTATTTTTTTAATAATGTACATATCTGTTGAAAGATTCAATATTTATTTGATGCAAAAATAAAAGCTACTACTATTTGGTGAGTCACTAAATCTTTTCTACACATACACAAACATTTAGACCACTTCTTTTTTTATTTTAGATGAATTAGATGACACTAGAGCTAGGGTTCAAAAGAGTGCTGACGAGGCAATTCTACTAAAATCCAAATTAACAGAAGTTCAAAAGCATGCTGATGAGAAGTCTGATATGGTAGTAGATCTGCAAGGTATGTTATCTGTTATAACATGAAGTATTATATAAATCTTCAGTTATTGACTTCTAACCTCTGACTGATAAGTTGTTAAACTGATTTTACGCTCACTTTTGAGAGTACAACCAGCTTTTCAGGTTTTGGAGTAGGTCTGATAACATTTCTGTTTTGACAAACCTACATGTTTGGAAATTTTAACTGGTAATTCACCAGAATTCAGGCAAGAGTTAAAAGCAGATTGCAGACCAACTGATTTTAAGGAAATAGAACCTGAAGCAAGATTATCACTGTATGAAATCTATAGGTATTGATTATGTGTATCAGAAGTTTAACATTTATTTTAAATTTAATTTTATAACTGATATGTTATTAATTACAGATCAATTAAAGAAAGCTGAAACCACAACAAAAGAAGTTAAACAACAGATATTAGATTTACGAGGTATGATTATTTATAACCTTAATGTTAGGGTGCATGAGGCTTGTATATAACATCACATTCTTGATTTACCATTTTCAATTTTGTCAGTTTATATAAAAGAAAGAGTTATGCCAATTACAACTACCAATCAAACTGTAAACTGTTAAATACCTTGTGAATGTTTAACTGAATTGTGATTTTTATACCATCGCAAACAAGGTTTGAGGGGGGTATATAGGAATCACCATCTCTGTCTGTCTGTCTGTCTATCCATCCGTCTGATTCGTGTCTGGTGCATAACTTTTGTTCCTTAAAACTTAGGTTTATCAGAGTTGGTATGCAGTTGCATCATAGGCTGGGGTGTGTCATATACCAAAATCAGGTCACTCTGATCTTGACTTTGACCTTTGACCCCTATGAAAGTAAAACCTTGTCCAATTCATATCCAGTGCATAACTTTTGTACCGTAAAACTTAGGATAACCAAACTTGGTATGCAGTTGCATCATGGGCTAGGTGTTTGTCATATAACAAAGTCAAACTTGGTTATGACCTTTGACCGTCATGATAGTAAAACCTCATCCAATTGTTGTCCAGCTCATAACTTAAATTCTTTAAAACTTAGGATAACCAAACTTGGTATGCAGTTGCATCATGGGCTTAGGGTGTTTCATATACCTAAGTCGGGTCACTCTGACCTTTGACCCCTATGATATTTAAACCTTATCTGATTTGTGTCCAGCTTGTAACTTTTGTACCATAGAACCTTATCTGATTTGTGTCCAGCTTGTAACTTTTGTACCATAGAACTTAGGTTGACCAAAATTAGTATGCTGATGCTGGGGGGGGGGGTTATAAGTCCGGCTATGCAGACAGTTCTAGTTCTACTTAAATTTTTCCTTGAAAGAAGTCTTGGTGCTTCATATTTCACCAAAACACAAAATACATGTAAAGAAATGATTTTAAAGTAATACTCTGAACTTGACACACACTACATAGTGATAATGTGTAAAGAAATTACTTCAATGTAATACATCTGAACTTAATGGCCACTACATACAATTTATGTGTAAAGAAATGATTTCCATGTATAATATTTCCAAACATCTTATCCACTGCATAGTAACTACATGTTAAGAAATGATTTCCATGTATAATATTTCCAAACATCTTATCCACTGCATAGTAACTACCTGTAAAGAAGTGATTTGAATCCAAACATCTTATCCACTGCATAGTAACTACGTGTAAAGAAATGATTTGAATGTATATTTTCAAACATCTTATCCACTGCATAGTAACTACGTGTAAAGAAATGATTTGAATGTATATTTTCAAACATATTATCCACTGCATAGTAACTAAGTGTAAAGAAATTTATTTGAATGTTATATTTCTGAACCTAACATTTTATATAACCACTGCATGCTTCACTGTTTAACAGATCAGTTACTGGAAGAACAATCACATACCAAGACTAACCAAGAGGATTTGATTCTAACTAAAAGTGAGTCATTTCAGCAAACATATACCATTGGAACACTATAGTAAAACTGTGGTATACATGTAGTTTGATCATTGTAGTTATTTGAAAATATAATGTACCAACTATTGTGTGACCTGACATAGAATCTTAAAGTCTTAATGTTAATTCACAACTCCTCGAAAATTACTGGACAGAATTCAACAAAACTTGCAGGGATGCTTCTATAGAACATGAAATTGTATATCTTAATATTTTTGGGTGGTTTGGACAAAATTCAATACCAGCTTCAAGTATTATGATTTCTGGCAGGCAGGTTGGCGGGCAGGGCAGTGTCATCAACTCCTACAGGGTCAACCCAAATCCAGAACCTTCACACAGAGATTGTGCACACATTTTGAAGTTGTGCACCTTCTATTATTGAATTGTCTGGGGAAGTTATCTCATTTTCTTCTTACTTGGGAACTAAGTAATTTTCAGCAAAATCCATGAATGATTGTACCAGTTTTGTGTACACAACTCCTTAGGTTTTCTTCCCACATCCCTTGCACTTCAAAGGGAGATTGCACGCATGTTGAATTTGGCCACCTGCTATTATGGAATTGTTTGGGGAATTTTCCTCTATTTTCCAAACATGGGAACATAGTCCTTTTTCATTAAGGTTTACAAAAGAAGGTACCAATTTTGTGTAATCAACTCTTCATAAATTTTTAATCCAGATCATTGAAACTTCACAAAAAGATTGCGCATGTATTGAAGTTGTGCATCTGCTATAAGGGAATTGTTTGAATTATGTTTTCCAATCTTTCCAGAATCTGGAACTTAGTGACTTTTCAGCAAATATTTTCAACAGATGGTAACAATTTTTGTTTTTAACCGAGATATTTGTAATTTTACTGAGAGATTGCAAACCTATTGAGGTTGTGCGCCTTCCATTTTCCCATCTTATATTTCCATTTATTTATGGTCAGTGTAGACCATTCTCTGTTTTTATGCCCCTGCAATCTGGATGGGTAACCTTGTCCATCCCTACATACGTCCCAAAAATAGTTTCCGTTCTCTTAACTTTAGTTTGCCTCAACCAAATGTTATGAAACTTATACACAATGCTTATAAGCACAAAACACAGATCATTTGAGTCTATGATCCATTTTTATACGACCGCAAAAAAATTTTGTGGTCGTATATTGGTATGACGTTGGCGTCGTCGTCGGAAGACATACTGGTTTTCGCACTCTAACTTTAGTTTAAGTGAATGGATCTTTTTGAAATTTGACCATAAGGTTAAATACCACAAAAGGAAGGTTGGGATTGATTTTGGGGGTTATGGTACCAACAGTTAAGGAATTAGGGGCCAAAAAGGGGCCAAAAATAAGCATTTTCTAGTTTCCAGACAATAACTGTGGAACGGTGTATGGATCTCCCTGAAATTATACTACAAGTTTCCATACCACAAAGGGATGGTTAGGATTTGCTTTGGGGGGTTATGGCTCAAACCGTTTAGGAATTAAGGGCAAAAAAGGGGGAAAAACAAGGTTGTCCTGGTTAATGGACAAATACTTTTGTACAAAACATAATTTAAAGCAGTGTAAGGGAGATAAATCAAATACATCATTGAGATTATCTCCCTTACACTGCTTTTAAATTATGTATAAAGTAATGGTTAATGAACAATAAAGATAATTTAAAACAGTGTAAGGGAGGTAATCAAAATACAACGTTTTGGTTACTTCCCTTACACTGCTTTTAAATTATGTTTAAAGAAATGCATATCTATAAAGGAAGACCAGTAAAAATATCTGCAAATGTTGCATCTTTTTTTTTTACAAAAAAATCCATATGAAAGATTTGACAGTATATTTTTAATTCTATTATAAAATAGATTAAGTTAGCACTATGGTAAATTTAAATGGGTAATTATGGTTGCCAACTCCATTGGAAATTTGAATTGAGATTATGACCATATCTTGAGGGAAAGAATTTTTTTGGGGAAAAAAGGGGGGGGATAAAAAGAAATTGTGGGGGGTCAATTTTTTCTCATTTCAGATTTCAGAAATTAAAAAGAATTATTCTTCAAATATTATTTTTTTTTCAAATTTCAAATATTGAAAAATTTCAAGAAGTAATCTTTAATTGCACAGTATGGCGCATTAGATTTGTAAAATCTTTGATCACATTTATTTATTTGTTATGCCGAATCTAACAGTGTATTTAAATTTTTAATTTTGGGTCCAGTTTTCAAATTGGTCTACATTAAGGTCCAAAGGGTCCAAAATTAAACTTTGTTTGATTTTAGCAAAAATTGAATATATGAGGTTCTTTGATATGCTGAATCTAAACATGTATTTAGATTTTTGATTTTTTGGCCCAGTTTTCAAGTTGGTCCAAATTGGGGTCCAAAATTAAACTTTGTTTGATTTCAATTAAAATTGAATATGTGGGGTTCTTTGATATGCTGAATCTAACCATGTATTTGGATTTTTTATTTGTGGACCCCGTTATCAAATTGGTTCATATTGAGGTCAAAAGGGTCCAAAATTAAACTTTGTTTGATTTCATCTAAAATTGAAGTATTGGGGTTCTTTGATATTCCAAATCTAACCGTGTATTTAGATTTTTAATTTTTGGTCCTGTTTTTTAAATTTGTCTACATTAAGGTCCAAAGGGTCCAAAATTAAACTTAGTTTGATTTTAACAAGAATTGAATTCTTGGGGTTCTTTGATATGCTGAATCTAAACATGTGTTTAGATTTTTGATTATGGGCCCAGTTTTCAAGTTGGTCCAAATTGGGGTCCAAAATTAAACTTTGTTTGATTTCAACAAAAATTGAATATATGAGGTTCTTTGATATGCTGAATCTAACCATGTATTTAGATTTTTGATTATGGGCCCAGTTTTCAAGTTGGTCGAAATTGGGGTCCAAAATTAAACTTTGTTTGATTTCAACAAAAATTGAATATATGAGGTTCTTTGATATTCTGAATCTAACCATGTATTTAGATTTTTTATTTGTGGGCCCCGCTATCAAATTGGTTCATATTGAGGTCAAAAGGGTCCAAAATTAAACTTTGTTTGATTTCATCAAAAATTGAATTATTGGGGTTCATTGATATGCCAAATCTTACCGTGTTTTTAGATTTTTAATTTGGGTCCCGTTTTTTAAATTGGTCTTCATTGAGGTCCAAAGGGTCCAAAATTAAACTTAGTTTGATTTTAACAAAAATTGAATTCTTGGGGTTCTTTGATATGCTTAATCTAAACATGTGTTTAGATTTTTGATTATGGGCCCAGTTTTCAAGTTTGTCCAAGTTGGGGTCCAAAATTAAACTTTGTTTTGATTTCAACAAAAATTGAATATATGGGGTTCTTTGATATGCTGAATATAACCATGAATTTAGATTTTTTATTTGTGGGCCCCGCTATCAAATTGGTTCATATTGAGGTCAAAAGGGTCCAAAATTAAACTTTGTTTGATTTCATCAAAAATTGAATTATTGGGGTTCTTTGATATTCCAAATCTAACCGTGTATTTAGATTTTTAATTTCAAGTCCCGTTTTTGAAATTGGTCTACATTAAGGTCCAAAGGGTCCAAAATTAAACTTAGTTTGATTTTAGCAAAAATTGAATTCTTGGGGTTCTTTGATATGCTGAATCTAAACATGTGTTTAGATTTTTGATTATGGGCCCAGTTTTCAAGTTTGTCCAAGTTGGGGTCCAAAATTAAACTTTGTTTGATTTTAACAAAAATTGAATATATGGGGTTCTTTGATATGCTGAATCTAACCATGTATTTTGATTTTGGACATTGGACCATAATAGGTAAATTAAAAAAATTCAAGTTCTTAGACCACATTCTTTCTGTGTCAGAAACCTATGCTGTGTCAAATATTTAATAACAATCCAAATTCAGAGCTGTATCAAGCTTGAATGTTGTGTCCATACTTGCCCCAACTGTTCAGGGTTCGACCTCTGCGGTCGTATCAAGCTGCGCCCCAGCGAAGCATTTTATTAATTTTTGATCAGAGTGATTTTTTGTTGCTTCCCATACCAAAACATGAATATGGCCATTTCTGCTTATTTCAGTTTGCTTTTTAGCAACTCCATGAAAATGGCTGGACAGAATTCCACCAAACTTGCACAGATTTTTATACGACCGCAAAAAATTGTTTGTCTTCCGAAGACACTTGGTTTACTGACAATAACTTTAGTATTAGTTAATAGAAATCTATGAAATTTAAACTCAAGGTTTATAACCACAAAAGGAAGGTTGGGATTGATTTTTGGGGTTATGGTCGTAACAGTTTAGGAATTAGGGGCCAAAAAATGGGCCCAAATAAGCATTTTTCTAGTTTTCAGACAATAACTTGTGGAACAGTGTATGGATCTCTCTGAAATTGTACAACAAGTTTCCATACCACAAAGGGATGGTTAGAATTGGCTTTGGGGGTAATGGTTCAAACGTTCAGGAATTAGGGGCAAAAAAGGGGGAAAAACAAGGGTTTCCTTGTTAATGGACAATCACTTTTAAGTGCAATGTTAAATTTGGATTACCTCCCTTACACTGCTTTAAAATTATGTATAAAGAAATTTTGTATTGTCTTGAGGTGATTAGCTGTCAATTTATTTTTAGAAGTTACTAATAAAAATTCTGATTAAAGATATATTATTTTTAGACATGATTATGTATGTCATTTTCTATTTTAAGACTTTTATGATGCATTTAAATGGGTAATTATGGTTGCAAACTCCATTGGAAATTTGAATTGAGATAATGACCATATCTTGAGGGAAAGATTTTTTTTTTGGAAAAAGGGAGGGGGGAGGTGAAAAAAAATTGGTTGGGGGGGGGGGGGGGTCAAAAGAAATTGTGGACGGGAACAATTTTTTTTTCTCATAACAGATTTCAGAAATTAAAAAGAAAATTTCTTCATAATTTTTTTTTTTTGTAAAAAATAGGGGTATTTTTTTTGCCAAAAAAAAGGGGGGGGGGGGTGAAATTTTTTTGTGGGGGGGGGGGGTTTCAGCATAGTGTATTGCACAAAATCAAAAAATTGAATATAAATTCAAATCATATGATCAATTCTAAGTTCTTTGACTACAGTTATTCTGTGTCAGAAACGTATTATGTGTCAAACATTAATTTCAATCCAAATTTAGACCTGTATCAAGCATGAATATTGTGTCCATTTTTGCCCTAACTGTTCAGGGTTGGACCTCTGTGGTCGTATCCAGCTGCGCTCGGCGAAGCAATTTATTCTACATGACACGAAGCTGTACACCTATATTTGATCGGAGTGATTTTGGGGTTTCCCATACTAAAACATGAACTCTCCCCATTATATTATTTGGAGTCAACAGGCAACACAAATTTTATTTGGAAAACTCACACAATTTGGATTACAAGTGGAAAATCCTGTGTTAAATTATGACAGCATATTGCTTCACAGTAGATTTTGTACATGTGACATTTATATCTTTCAGAAAATTTAGAACAAGAGAAATCCAAACATAAAGAAACAAGAAAAGAGCTGGAAGAAGCAAAACGTAATATTTTTTTACACATATTTGTTTTGTTTTTTTTGTCACATTTCATTTAACCAAGTCTTGTGATAAACCTTATAACCGTATATATTTCCTTTTCTGAATGTTACTAAAATTCACTTAAGATATTCTTTATTTTATAGGTCGTAAATAAAGCAAAAGATTTTTTTATTGTATAGGCTATAAATCGTTTGTCTTACACATTGTCAGCCTAAAAGTTACAAAATTGCCCAGCTTTAATTCAATAGTAATTTGCCAAATTAAAAAAAATTATTCAAATTCCTGCAAACTACTAATCTTGTAAACATTCAGTAAATATCTTACTGTAAGTTTACATTAATCTCAAATAAATATCCTCATTCAAGATTAAGTTTAATTTATGTTGTCTGGTTATTTTGGCAATTTATGACTCCCCTTCACTCAGGTTCTCAATAAGGCAAGTCCATGAGTCCTGGACTCATGAAACTCTGTCTGGACACATCATTTTCAAAACTGGTGAGTCCAAAGATGCATCAAAATTGTGAAATGTTGCATCAACTGAGCACACATATCATTCTATAGCAAAAAGTTTAAAAACAATCTAGAATTTGATGTTATTTCCCTGTTATATTTTGTCATGGAGACTGAAATAATGAATTATATAGCAAACAAATTTCTTCTCACTGTTGGACTTGCCATGGCCACAAATGATGAGTCCCTGCACTCACATTCAAAAATCCTTAGTGAAAACACTGTGACACTAAAAGAAGACATTATAACGTAATTCAAATTTCAACATCTCACCTCCATACCAGAAATTTGTTGTCTTATTTTGATATTTGGTACCTTGTTGCATTAGCAACTCTTCATTTTGATTTCAAGCTGATTGCTATAAATGGAGGCAGCATACATTTGTTCAGTGACTTGAATTTTGCTTCTTTCAATATTACATTCGTATCCCCTGATTTCATATTCAAGGAGAATTCATAGCCTTCTTCAGTGACTTGAATTAATGAATTTTCAACTGTTCAAACAAAAATTATTTCCAGTAGATTTTTTTTTTAAATATTTGCTTTACAATCATGAATATTCAAAAATATATTAAAATCTTAAAAAAATTAGCAAGTTAGGACATTTTTCAGAATTTGTTGACACATCTGTTTTGTTTTTTTTTTGTTCATCAAAAAACTTTCTGTATTTTGAATGGACTACCCCTCTACATAAAAAATATAAAATTGTGTGAAAAGCAAAGGATTTTTATACGACCGCAAAAAATTTTGCAGTCGTATATTGGTATCACAGCGTTGTCCGAAGATATTTCGTTTCCAGACAATAACTTTAGTAAATGTAAATAGAAATCTCTGAAATTGAAACACAAGGTTTATGACCACAAAAGGAAGGTTGGGATTGATTTTGGGGGTTATAGTCCTAACAGTTTAGGAATCAGGGGCAAAAAAGGGGCCCAAATAAGCATTTTTCTAGTTTCCAGACAATAACATGTGGAACGGTGTATGGATCTCTCTGAAATTATACCATAAGTTTCCATACCACAAAGGGAAGGTTAGGATTGGCTTTGGGGGGTTTTGGCTCAAACCGTTTAGGAATTAGGGGCAAAAAAGTGAGAAAAACAAGGGTGTCCTGGTTAATGGACAATTAAGTTCAAATTACTGTGTAAGGGAGGTAATTCAATGTTGTGTTTGAATTACCTCCCTTACACTGCTTTTTAATTTTGTATGAAGAAATATTGTATTGTCTTGAGGTGATTAGCTGTCAATTTATTTTTAGAAGTTACTATTTTAATAATTTTAAAAATTCTGATTAAGGTAAATTAATTTTAGCCATGATTATGTATGTCATTTTCTATTTTAAGACTTTTATGATGTATTTAAATGGGTAATTACAGTTGCAAACTCCATTGGAAATTTGAATTGAGATAATGACCATATCTTGAGGGAAAAAAATTTTTTTTTGGAAAAAGGGGGGAGGTAAAAAAAAAATTGGGGGGTGGGGGGTGGGGAAAATTTTATGGGGACAATTTTTTCTCCTCATGATTTCAGATATCAAAAAGAAAATTTCTTTAAATATTTTTGTTTTGAAAAAAAAAGGGGGGGGGGGGGGGTGGGATTGTTTTTTTTTTAAAAAGAAAGGGGGGGAGGTCAATTTGCAACAGCATAGTGTAGTGCACAAAAGCAATGCAAAAAATTGAATATAAATTCAAATCATATAACCAATTCTAAGTTCTTTGACTACAGTTATTCTGTGTCAGAAACCTATTATTTGTCAAATATTTAATTACAATCCAAATTCAGACCTGTATCAAGCGCGAATATTGTGTCCATTTTTGCCCCAACTGTTCAGGGTTGGACCTCTGCTGTTGTATCCAGCTGCGCTTGGCGGAGCAATTTATTTTCTATATCATAATGTTAACTGTATATATTTTACTAATCAGTATAGTACAGATGTATATTCCACTGATATTTAGTACATGTACTTAGATATATAATTCACTATAACATTTCAAATATTACAAAGGTTGACACAGCTATACACCACCACTTACTAAATAACTTACAGTCTATATGTATGATTTTTCCCTTGTACTAGGCACCTTGTCAGAAACACAGCAATCTGCAAAACAAAATCACAACGAATCAGAACAACTAAAAAGTAAGTGTTCCTCATCTTTAGCTGTTTTAAGCATTGTGAAGTACATTTTTGAGATGATTTTATTTCATCTTAACTTGTAAACTTTTGTATGATATAACTTTGATACATTTCTTTGAAAATGATTAAGCAGAAGGTATACTTTCTTTTGAAGTTACATTTTTACATTTAGAATTGACAAATTAAATTAAAAGGCTTGAGAATTGAAAGCATTTGTTTGGAATTATGTTGTTTTAGTATCTCTATTATTTTATTGACCAACAATAGTGGAAAGTATTTTTAACTTATTCTATTAAATAATAGAATTCCTTACATTTAATTAAGATGTAAAAATTATGTATGCAGAAAATCAAAGTATGGAATTTTGATTTTTAGAAAGCATTAAATGCACTGAGTTTCGATAATTGTATGAATTATTAAATCAAATACATTTGTACCTGTGCATGATTGATTACTTTTTCAATATTGCATGGTTACCAAAATCATTTGTATGCATCTACTCTCCTAAAATTTGATAATGTAGACTTCCCTCATTATACACACATCTTGTTTAATATGCACTCCTACATATTTCACAAAATTTTTAGAATTTTCCAAATTATCAATAATTGTGTTTCTTTTGTGCCATTATTTCATAAGTACATGTAGTTGAAATGGAATATAGTGAGGGTGTAGTGTAGTTTGCTGTATATATTTCAGTATATTTATTTAAACAAATTGTTCTTCTGCATGAATATAGTACTTGTATTTTTATACACCTTTATTCATATATATATATTTATATGTAAATGTTTGTGTGTGTGTATGTATTCAATTTTTTTAATAACTTTTGCATTGAGTTTATTATTTTATCTAAAAGTTAGATGTTTTGCATGTTTGACTATTGATTTCAATTAAGCATGTAAGTAAAAGAGGAAACAAGTCCTTTCTTTTCATTTTAATAAGTACCTGGCTTTCCATATTTTCATCATCTTTGCTTACTTTAATTTCCAGTTATTGTTGGTGTTGTAAATCTGTCCTTTATTCTCTCTCATTAATTCTTTTGCTTTACGCATGTCCGTGGTCTTGGCTGTATGTCTGCAATGGCTTTTGGTCAGACTCTCTATCTTATGGACGGCTAATATCAGTCTTATTTTATGCCATGCAGACAAGGTACGTCATCTTCAAGAACGTCTTGACTTAGATAGGAAAGAACGAGCCAGAGAATCTCATCATGCTCGACTGACGCACTCAGACTCCCATCCGGGTTCACATACTAGCCCCAATGTCAAACATCGAGGTAATATCATTGGTAAATGTCATTTTTAAAATTGCTTAATTTTTTTTATTTTATAGCTTAAACATTTCTTTAATGAAACATCATTATAATGACTTAATTTAAATTTAGCTTTCATCATCAATTATTGCAACTATTGTTAAATTTTAATTTCATATTGGAATGCAGTAATATTTTTTTTTAAAGTCAGAAGTTTGGAAATAGCATTTGTTATGCATAAAAAATGTACAGCATATGGTATATTTTTGCATGAACCTAATGGTTGTAATGTTACTGGCATTATTAGAGAAATTTTTATCTGTTTAAAAAAAAGTTGTTGGTATATTGAAAGGTGTTACTAGAACTGGTTATACATTTAGAATAAGCTTGTTCATACAGTAATTGTTTTCAATTCCTAGTCTTTCTTTGGTTTACTCCTCTTGGTAATATGTCTAGATCAAAGGCAGTATGTTCTTTTTCATAAATAAAACTTTTGATGAAGTTATACCTGGTTTGGGCATAAGTTGGATGCAGTGTGGTTGATCACCAGATCTCTGTTATTAGTTAAACCTATGTTGTTGGTTGACATTAATCCCTCATCACTTTGTACTCATTAGTTATTCCTAAGATATTTGTGTAGTTGTTTAGCAATGTTTGGTTATACAATAGGATTTACAGGAATATTGTCAGCCATTATGGTAACATTCAAGTTTTTTTATTGATAAATTTTTGAAAATTATATTATTTTATGCAATATTTCATGAGATGTTATGGGGTATTCCTGTTTGTATATATTTGTTTGTATATATTATTTATCCCTTTCTTCTTTTTTCCACCTTAAGGGGATACCATACAGTAATTATTCACCATCTTTTTTATATAAAATTGAAACTCAAAGTCAAGTTTGATATGTCCTTTTGAATCATAAAAAGAAAAAAAAAAGAAAAAATTTACCATTGTCACCATTATTTCAGTATATTTTCTTTTGTTTTTCACCTTTTTGACAATAAATATTGAAAATTTGGGGTTCTTTTTAAGAAAAATATCAACTCTTTTAATTTATCAAGATAGATTTCTTCAGGTATCATATAAATCATTCCTTAGTTTGTAGGTTTTAAAGTTATTCAACATACCAGTAATATAAGTTTATCAAATTTTAAATTCCTTAAAATTTGCAATTATTTGTGATGTAAAGGATTTTGAAAACCCCCAAAATACCCCAAAAAAATAACTGTAGAGTTTTTCTTTCAAAATTTTGTGTCAATGTGCTAATTTCAAGATATTTTAGGACAATATCATTTTCTTTTCCATTAAATTTCTTGTTTTCCTTCATCATTGAGACAACAGTATAAAATGTTACTCTTTGTAGCAGCATTACATCTCTCCCCTTTGCTACTGTATTGTATCCCCTAAAAATGGTGTGTGTTACACATCAATACATTCTTTTAGGAAAATGTTTGCCTTTATTTTTGGTATGTTGTTAAGGTGTGATAAAAATACATCGAACTATATCTATGGGATGTTTTGCCAGACATTTCTCTTTGAAATTTTAGTTTCAGCTTAAATAAACACATTTTTAAAATGATTTAAAATATTGACTTACAGCAATTATTTCCTTTATTAGCTGATTTTGCTGCATTGAAAGATGAGTGTGCCAGTTTACGTAAAAGGATTCAAGCTATTGAAGCAGAGATGAAAATGTAAGTTTTATTCAGTTCTATAGTAGTTAACTTTTATTGTACTTAAGTGACAAAGAACTATGCAAAAGTGCTTTGAGTTAACAGAGGAAGAATCTGATTGCATAGCAGGCTAAAAAGGGGTTAAATTTGATGTACTGATTTTTATACGACCGCAAAAATTAAAAATTTTTTGGTCGTATATTGGTATGACGTTGGCGTCGTCGTCGTCGTCAGGCGTTGTCCGAAGACACATTGGTTTTAGCACTCTAACTTTAGTTTAAGTGAATGGATCTCCATGAAATTTTACCATAAGGTTCAATACCACGAAAGGAAGGTTGGGATTGATTTTGGGGGTTATGGTACCAACAGTTAAGGAATTAGGGGCCAAAAAGGGGCCAAAAATAAGCATTTTTGTAACTTTCAGACAATAACTTGTGTGTAAGTGTATGGATCTCTCTGACATTGTACCACAAGGTTCCATATCACAAAGGGAAGGCTGTAATTGATTTTGGGGGTAATTGCCTTGAAATTTTAGGAATTAGGGGCCAAAAAAGGGGCAAAAAACAAGCATTTTTCTAGTTTCATGACAATAACTTGTGTGTAAGTGTTTGGATATTTCTGAAATTGTACTACAAGGTTTCATATCACAAGGAAAAGCTGGAATTGAGTTCGGGGGTAATTGCCTGAAATGTTTAGGAATTGGGGGCCAAAAAGGGGCCAAAAATAAGCATTTTTCTAGTTTCAAGACAATAACTTGTGTTCAAGTGTATGGATCTCTCTGAAATTGTACTGCAAGGTACCATACCACAAAGGGAAGGCTGGGATTGAGTTTGGGGTTGATGAATCATAAGGGGGTTCAAAAAATTTGGGGGGGGGGATTTTTTTTTTTTTTCTTTTTTTCCTTTTTTTTTTCTTTTAAAATTTTCCATTTTAAGTTGGTTATTTCTGATTTATATTTAAAAACAAATAATAATGATATGGTAGGAGATACACACCAAACAGGATGTGTAAATTTTTATATAATAAGTATTGTGCAATAGCAAGAAATTTTCAATTGCACAGTATTGCACAATAGCAAGAAATATCCAATAGCACAATATTGCGCAATAGCAAGAAATTGTCAATTGTACAGTATTGCGCAATAGCAAGAAATATTCAATTGCACAGTCATGACAGTATTGTGCTAAAGAAGATACTTCTTATAAATTGCTTATTTCTTGATCAATTTCAATGGGGTTTTATTCTTGAATTCTTGGGGTTCTTTAATATGCTGAATATAACCGTGTATTAAGTTTTTGGATTTTGGGCCCCGTTTTTAAATTGGTCCACATTGAGGTGCAAAGGGTCCAAAATTTGAATTTGTTTGATTTCATCAAAAATTGAATTATTGGGGTTCTTTGATATGCCGAATCTAACCGTGTATTTAGATTTTTAATTTTTGGTTCTGTTTTCAAATTGGTCTACATTAAGGTCCAAAGGGTCCAAAATTAAACTTAGTTTGATTTTAACAAAAATTGAATTTTTAGTGTTCTTTGATATGCTGAATCTAAACATGTATTTAGATTTTTGATTATGGGCCCAGTTTTCAAGTTGGTCCAAATTGGGGTCCAAAATTAAACTTTGTTTGATTTCAACAAAAATTGAATATATGGGGTTCTTTGATATGCTGAATCTAACCATGTATTTAGATTTTTGGGCCCCGTTATCAACTTTGTCCACATTGAGGTCAAAAGGGTCCAAAATTTAACTTTGTTTGATTTCATCAAAAATTGAATTCTTTGGGGTTCTTTGATATGCCGAATCTAACCGTGTATTTAGATTCTTAATTTTTGGTTCTGTTTTCAAATTGGTCTACATTAAGGTCCAAAGGGTCCAAAATTAAACTTAGTTTGATTTTAACAAAAATTGAATTTTTAGTGTTCTTTGATATGCTGAATCTAAACATGTATTTAGATTTTTGATTATGGGCCCAGTTTTCAAGTTGGTCCAAATCGGGGTCCAAAATTAAACTTTGTTTGATTTCAACAAAAATTGAATATATGGGGTTCTTTGATATGCTGAATCTAACCATGTATTTAGATTTTTGGGCCCCGTTATCAACTTTGTCCACATTGAGGTCAAAAGGGTCCAAAATTAAACTTTGTTTGATTTCATCAAAAATTGAATTCTTGGGGTTCTTTGATATGCTGAATCTAACCATGTATTTAGATTTTGGATATTGGACCATAATAGGTGAATGTTCACTTTAAAATTTTTAAGTTCTTAGACCACATTCATTCTGTGTCAGAAACCTATGCTGTGTCAAATATTTAATCACAATCCAAATTCAGAGCTGTATCAAGCTTGAATGTTGTGTCCATACTTGCCCCAACTGTTCAGGGTTCGACCTCTGCGGTCGTATCAAGCTGCGCCCTGCGGAGCATTTTATTGTCTACTGGGAACAAATTATGTGAAATATGACAAATGTTCAGACATATCGAAAACACTTCAAAGACTATTCAAAAGACATGACTAAAACACTTCACAGACTTGATCAAAAAGACATAACTAATAAATTTCAAAGACAACTAAAACACCACCCAGACATAGTTAAAGTCATAACTAAAACACCTCCCAGACATAACCAAAAGCACAAACCCATTCTGTGCACGTTGCCATGCAGGGTGTGGATTATACACTACTAAAATACATAAAGGGGATAACAGAAATCACCAAAACATTTAATAGTACAACAGATCACATCAACAACACTTCCTCGCAAAATATAACAGATATTCAAACAAAATTGAAACAACACACTGTCCAGATAGCCAGACTAGGTACAGTCACATAATGTGGTGGGGTTAAACCAGTCTTAACAAGCTAGGAATAAAAGAAGGAATTGATTTCATGATATTTGTTTATGTTTCTGCCATTGTTTTTTGGCAAAGTAGAGGGCACCATGGTTTCTTTTCAAATTCTTTAATCAATTACAACCAGAATAGATTTATTGTTAAATCAGTATAGACCTGTTTATAATTTATAATGATTTATTTTTTGTAGGTCAAGAAAAGAGAACCTTCAGCTTTCTTCAGAGTACAACAAACTCCAAGAATCTTATAAACAATTAGAGGCCTTAAAACAAAAACTAGAAACAAAAGAAGCTGTGTGGCGGTCAAACATGACAGACTCACAGAAAGAAACTGACCTTGCCAAACAGGAGGTGAGGCGCAGTCCAAGGGGCAGACAACCCATTATGGGAGGTCGCCTAAAAACATCTGGAGTAACCAAGCCTACTTTGAAAAGTGTTTCTTCTGATCCTAAGTTGTCGTTGAAGGTATCAGTGTATATTGTTGTTGCTGGAAGCTTCTGTTGTTTAGTTTTAGCGATGGACCACTTACTATTTTCCATCCAGCTTTTGTTGTTGTAATGCTGATGCCTGTTTAGTTTTCTCCTTATCATTTACTCAGCCAGGCTTGTTTTGTTTAATTTGAAAGGTCACATGATTTAATTGTGAAAAGTGAAACTCACCTTAACTACTTCGCAAACTTGGAATTGTACAGTCCTTTTTGTCAAAATCAACATTAGACAGTATTTATGTTTGGCATAGTTAAACTAAATACAAAAATGGCAAAAAGCTTTGTTTTAAATCATTTATACAGTTTTTAACTATAGAAATGAATGTAACTGTTGAAACATGCCTGTTCATTTGTTCAGCTGTAACATTGACTATCCAAATGAATAAAAATATCCTAATTTTAAATTAGTATATGTAAATAATGATATTCTTTTAAAATTTTAAGAATGTAAATCTGTGGTACATGCAGTTGTGTTAGTAAAGCATAACTGTGATATGATCAAATCTAGAAGTAATACAAAAAAATTGTATTTGATTTTGGAATATTTTTTTTTTGTATAAGATAAATATCAACTTAATTTTACATTTTGTAAAATGTGATCCTGAAAGAGTTTCATCATTTTATTCTTTAAAATTTAAGGCACTGAAGTAGAAAAGACAAAGTCTTTTAAATTGAATATGGACAGGCATACTTACAGATCTTTTAGAAAAATTAGTTTCATAAGAAAATAAACATTACAAGGGTTGACTGACAAGTTCCAAATTTCAGTTCTACTTTTTAGTTTTGCATCAATTAAGTTAACAGGAACTATTGGGGTATCACTAGAGTCGATGTATGTGTACATTTGCACAGACATTCCTCATAAGCTGCTGAACATGCAGCTACATGTTTGGTATCTAAATGTGTCTTGAAAAGACTGACCATCTGCCATTAGGTTGGAGTCACTTGACTCATATTTCACAGTTCAGTGTTTTTCAACTTCATTCTAACCCAGCACGTGGCAGGGGAAGGTCATGGTTCCCTCCGGGCACTCCGGCTTCCCCCACCAATACAACTGACTGCCACGAAATAGCCAATGGTGCTGAAAGTGGGGTTAAACATCAAACAATTTACATCCAATATCAGAAATCACATAATAAGTAACTTGCAATCATACAACATGGTGTGAGTGTAAAGCAGCTGCTCATACTTGAAGGTCATCCAGACCTATATTTTATGCTTCATTGACTGGAATTAAGTTAAATTGTGAGTTGAGATCTAAGGGTCTAACAATTAAACATTTATAACAGCCTCCCACTAAAAAAAGATAACTGACCTGTATTTATTATTGACTTTAATAAGGTGTCAAATTTCAGTTCAGATACTTAGTGACTTACAATTCTACAACTTGGTTTTTGATGTATCTTAGTGAGTATTACAACATCCCATGAAAAATAGGCAACTCAGACATATATTTTATACATTACCGACTTCCATTAGGTTTTATATTCAAGTTAAAATTTCATATACTAGGTAACCTACAACTTCCACAATAATAAGTAGGGTACTCTGATCTATATTTTGCAATTCATTGACTTTAAGTTTTATATTTAATTTATTTTTTAGGCAGTTTTTGTGTAAAAAAATACATTGATTAATTATCAATTGGCTTTTATCCAGGATGTTGATGAGGATATCATAGTAATCATTAAATACCTTTTTTCAATAATAAGATAAAGCAGCTTGAAAAAATCCCAGCAGCTTTCATTTCAGGTAGATCTGCTTTTTAACAGTGGCTTGGTGTTAATTAAAATTCATTTTAAAGCAGAGAGTGAATAGGTTATTTTCATCTTTTTATTGTGTATGGAACCCTTGGTTAGCGTTTTAAATCTGTACCCAGTGCCTGCTTTAAAAGTCAATAAATGGTTACCTCTTGCAAATCCTTTGGCTACGTCTCCCTGGTTATTTTACAATATCATTAGAAATAGGTTGAAACATGGATACATGATTTTAAGCGTAGTAATTTGATAAGAAAGTCATTTGTTTGCTTGATATACATATATTTTACAACACAACATCTTTTTACAATTTTAATCCACTGGAGATAGATTTTATTTTTAAACTTTTAATTGCAAAATTTACCGAGCATGTTAGCATTTGAAAAATTTAAACATCGAGAGTAGATAAATAAAGTAATCAACATGGTTAAGTGGTAAGATCTGTTTCTCTAATGATTCAATAGAAACAGACAATTGCAATGTTCCCAATAGATATGACAGGAATTTTTTCATGAAACAAAATCAACATGTCATAATTTTTTAAACTTGTCATAACTGATATAAATGTACACAGAATTAGTGGCCAAATTTCAGCAAATTTTCAGATGAAACAGACAATTTCTTTTCTTTAATGCTTTGATACTTGTGGAGTGTATTACTAAAGTGATCATGTAGAACTGAATGTCTATCACATGGACAACTGTGTGTCCCAGAGTCTTTGAAAAGTGGGGTTATGTAAAATTAATTGCATTAACAATAAATAGGGTACTATACCTTCCACATTCTCAAAGTCTTCAGTATTTATCCACTTTAAAGGTATAAAGCTGTTGCCAATAAAGTTGTATTTTTCAAATTTTGATTTTTTCCATTTTTGTGAATTTTAAGACACAGTGTTGCTGTTAAGTGGTAAACAATTTTACTTACTAATATAGGGGAATTATGGAAAAGCAAGTAAATAAATTGGTTATAATGAGCTTAGGTGTTAATCAACAAATATTTTAAGTGCATTAATATGTAGTAATGTTTCTTTTTAACAAATTCTGCTCATTATGTGCAGTTTTGAAGTGGAAAATAGCAATTAAACATCTTTTAACTCTATGATTTGAAAAATTTATATGAAGGTATTTGTAATTTGACTTATTGTAGTTGCATTTTGTGGAATATTATTTCTGCTTTTTGACCAACAGTTTATTTTACATTCTTATTCAGCTGTGTGAAGCCCAAGAGGAGATAGCCAGTCTTAAATCACAATGTGAAACTTATTCAGTGAAAAATGGAGAACTGAAAAGTGAAATAGCCAATATGGCTGATGAATATAAGCAGCTTTCAGATAGAAGCAAAGTGGTAAGTTCTTTAAGATCACATACATGTTGAATTCACTTATGCTTGAAATATTTTACCACCACTGGTAAACAAATTAAATTATCTTGGGTTGACATAGAGGAATTAAAACTGAAGGTAATCTTCAATACAATCAAAATCTCAATGAAGACCAATACAAATTGTATTCATCATATTACTACCAGTATTGTGAAATACATAGGAAAATGTTTTGTTTATGACTTCACCAATTGAATACAAAAATGCTAGAATATTCATTGATAATCCCTTTCCTGGTGTTCTGTGCTGTCAATGCACCAAATTAAATATCAACTAATGGAGAGATTACATTGATCTCTACAGTGATAAGTCTTTTGACTTCTATATTAGTACAATATATCAAATAGAAAAGGCTGTTTTGTTAATTGGGGTTAACTATTTATATGATTCACTTTCTAAATAAAACCAAAACCCATTTATTGATCAAGATCTACCTGTCTCCATGCAATACAGAATGTTGTACTTTATTTTGTATGTTGCATAATATATTGTTAAATGATATTACCTGTGGTGATGTTACACTTTACCTTTCTCTACAAACCTATTTTTATTGACATTCAGTTATTAACTTTGTGAATTTTGTATTTCAGCTTTCATTTTGCTCAAGTATACCATTACTGATGCTACTATTTGCCGTTCTAGTAGCATTATATCCTACATTAGCACAAATTACCGGAACAACACCATAATCAAGATCATGTGAATGTTTGTAAAGGAGGTCATAATCATCTGAGTGTTTAAAGAGACATGGTGGAAAATGTGTGCATGTTATAATATTCCATATGTATATAATACATTTGTATATGAGTTTGAATGTTTGGAGAGAGTAAATGTGTTTTTATGTGTATATTATGTGTTTTTGAGATGTAAGAGGTATTGATACATATATTGTAAGAGTCGTGTATGTTAATGGATATGTAGAACTTCAATATATATAAGTTTAGCTATTTTCTTTTTTTAAGCGTACACTATAAGCAATAGTATTTATATATAAAGTGCTATATTACAGTTACATAAAAAGTATATAATGATATAAACATGTATAGAAGGAACTTTTTTTTAATTTTTGTTGGAAAGTATAATTTATTTGTATTTAATTTGAAAGGTTACAAACATAACTCTTATATAAGCAATAATTAGAAAATTCAAAAGTATGAATTTGGAGAGAGTTAATGAGTGTTCCAGCTAGAAAATTTTCTTAAATGTCATTACCAGTCATAAATATCGCACACCCTGTGTCCTTCTTTCCTTGAGCTCTCCCCATTTCTTTGGCCCTGCTATGTTATCCATCTTTGAATTCCAATTACATGTTAAAGTGTCCCTTTTCCTATTTACTTAATGTGCTAAAGTACACTTTTTGAGATATGGAACCTGCCCATTTCAAATCCTGGCTGGAACATTGAATGGTTTGAAAATCATAACATATCATTGGCTTTTGTTGTTATTATTTTTATTGTTGCAACTGTTGATTTACATTCAAACAATCTGTTTTATTGTCTTTATGTCAAAAGAGGCATTGGTTTTGTAAATTTGCTTGTTGAATTATAGTGCTAAGTGCAGGATATATGCTGACACAGTTGTTTATGTTTTCCCTAATACGGTACAAATGTTATAATGTGTGTGAATTCAACTGTAAGCTTTAAAAATTATTGAAGTTATAACAAACTTAAATTCTAAAGAAAAAAAATTTAAATGCATAATATTCAAGACCAGAATAAATTATTTTCATATCATTTTAATTTTTTGGACAGTTTGTAATGTTCTATTCTCCTTAGTTAAAACTAGTTCTAAGTTATAAGTGCAAATATAGCTCTGCAGTCTAAAAAAAAAGTAAAATAACAAAAATACCGAATTCCAAGAAAAATTCAAAACATGAAGTTCCTTATGAAATTATCCCAATGTTTTAGATAAGATACAACTGATATACTAACAGAAAATTTATTCAGTTTATCGTGAAAGTTCAGATTTCTGTGAAAAATTATGCCTTGTATGTTTTAAAGTCAGAAACCAAACAAATTCTGGCTATTCTCATTTTATTCTTTTCATTACATCGAAACTTCAAAAGTGAAGATATTGAAAAATTCAGAAGTATACAGTTCCATTTAAAGAATGCCAAGAAATATATCAAATGCAGAAAATATTCCTGAATGACACTGTTATCCACAATTAAGATATTAGAATCCCGGACAGTTGGTACATGTTAAATAGATTTCTGTGATAGATTGTTTGTTATTTGTATGTTATACTGTAGAAAATTGAAACTTTTTGTAAAAAAAAATCAAATCCTGAAGGTAAGTTACTTGGGAAAATCTATAAAAAGAAGAGGAAATTGACAAACATGAAGAGAACATAATAAATCTTGATATTCATAGAAAAATATTAAAACGGTTCTTTTCTAAATAATGTTCAGGGTAACAAGTAGTGACATTGTTTCAATTTTCTGTGGTAGAGTTTGTTAAATAAAGGAATGGTAATACTGTATCCTTTGATTTGACCATTTATTCTTCTTTCATTTGTCATTATTCTGATATTCAGGGTGACATTTGATACAAGTAGGTACAGACAATTTGTCAGTAAACATCTGTTAAAAACAAATCAATTCAATATATATTAACATTAAAAATAAGTGCAGCATGAAATATAGAGAACTGTCTATTTATAAATGTTAAAAGATTAAAGGCCTGACACAATAATCAAATTGATTGGAGAAAAAAAATTGACAATGATAAAATGAGTGATTGAGATAAAACAATAGAAAAATCTTAAAATATCTGGTTTCAGAGTATGTTATTGTTAATAGAGTTCCTTTATATGATCATTAAAGATTTTTATTGACAAATTATTTGTATGTGCTCGCGCTATAGTTCCACTCAGGTCCATGTAGATAAGAAGTTTCATTATGTAGACTGTTTTGAATGTTGTTGTTTTTTTATATATAGATGGAAGTAGGTCTACTTAAAATGAAGGGTGTAAATGGAATTACTTCGGTAACAAAAATGGGAGTTAATCTTTTTTTATTTGTTATTTCAATTATAGTTGCTTGTAGAGTGTATGATCCAAAATGCACTGCTATGCTGCTTATACTTTTTTTTTGCATAATGATTTAAATCAACTGATAGCATAGTTAGGCTGGTTCAATATCAATGTTATAGATTCTCATCAACATGCACAAACACTTGAGTGGGTAGGGAGGATTTAATTTTTCTGGGGTAATGTGGGTGAGAATGAGTGTAGGTTAAAGTGGCTTAACAGACATGCATCCTTGTGCTTACCTGAAAATTTAATTGCTTTTATTTTATGTAGCTGCTAAAATCAGTTGTAACTTATTTATAGATTTTCAGTGCTTTGACACATTCTCTAGAAGGAAGCTATATATTTTATCATACTTTCATACTTTTCTAGAATATCCTGGTTTCTTTGTGTATAAATTATATATGTAAAAGAATTATTCTGTTGCCAAAGTAATGTATTTATGAAATGTGTTGTTTATGTTGATAATTGTTATTTACTTTCTTTTTGAGTGTTATCATGGAACTTAAATGGAATCAAAGCTTAACTTGTTGGAATATTACCCAGTTAAAGCCTGACTTCTTGGAATATTACCCAGTTAAAGCCTGACTTCTTTGAATATTTACCTACAGTTACTAAATTGAATCTCATTTTGGAGTAAGGAAAAAGCAATTTCTCATAAAGCAAACATATATATATTTAGCTTTCAATAAACAGTTTCCATGTATAATTAGAATATTTATCATGTGGCTTTCACAAGGATAAGGAAAATAAGGAATATCTTAATCACATTATAACATCACCATATATAGCAAGTCCCAAATAATAACTAGTTCGTTATTCAATGACTGTCTCCTGCTTGTCAATTTTAAGTGTTCAGCATTGTGTGTGTAGTTGTATACTAATTTAATTAATTTTGTTGTATATCTGTATAACAATCACCACTTCTCTTAAAAAGGGCTGTATTTTCTGTTAAATTATTGGACTTAAACTACTCAAGATTATATGGACTTAGAGAATATACCAAAAAGATGGACATGTTATGGAATTGTATGTGTGTGAATGGTGTAATTAATGTGTGATTAATTGAAAGTAATGTCTTCCTTACATAGTGTGTGTATCTCATTACACATCAGATACATGTAATTGTTGTGATCAGGCCAGTTAAAGGGATCAATATTCCTGTTTGACATAACTTTGTGGACATTTTTTTTCATCTTTTTATAATTATTTGCTAAGATATTTTAAATCATCGGTTACTTTTTTTCCATAACATAGAAGCATCCAGTTTTATGTACTTGAGCTAGTATTTATATTGTATGTTCTGTGTGTCCCAAAGATCCATAAAAAATATTTGTCATACAAATTTCGGTACTAATAATATATGGGAGGCAACTTTGTCATTTGCCATTAATACCCAAAATCATAGATATTTATCCTTTTGGATAATATAAAACTGTCACCAATAATTTTTTGGTCAGTGCTTTTATTTTCTGTTTTCATTAAAAAACAAATGATGCCGGAAAAAAATACACCACACAGGTGCTAGCTGTTGCTCAAAAATATGATAAAAAAAGTTTTTTTAAGTTACATATACAATAAATAAACTTAAATTCAGCAATGAGTAAAAATTATATTCTTAAATTTGAATGCAGAGTTAGCATTTACATTTGCATAAACAATGGTATTTGATGTAACTGGGACACACAGTGGCTTGAGATATCTAGTATATATAGATCACCCCTCACTGAGAATGACACTATGCATAAAATAAGTGAACAGACATTACCTTTACTATTCATCATGGTGTAACAATCAAACTTTTATCTTATTGAAATTCATTTTGCTCCAAGTGTTCCCTTGTCTACACTTCTTTCTTTCCTGAATATGGAGAACAGAATATTGCAAATTACAATAAAATAGACCCCAGTTTTAAAGAAATAGATATGTAGTATTTTTTCAGAAATTTTAGACTTTAAAGGAAGAATTTCATTGTTATTGTGTAATGTGTTTACTTGTTTTATGCATAAAACCTTGATGTTTTGGTGTAAGAATTGGCATTGGTAATTTTCGGGCCACCTTAGTTTCTTCCTTTTGGTGAAGGGGCTTATGTGGTGGCAGGCACTTTGTTATATCTGCTTCTGAAGCCTCAAATCATTTCTCAAAGGTAAAGGTTCATAGTCTATAACATCAACATTTTTTTTACACCCTATAGTTCTTCAAATCAATTACAGCAGTTTTGAGTTTGTAAAAAAATAACATAGGAGCTATAGCAGTAAATAGTTACATTTTACTAGCTAAAAATTCAATACATCAATTTCAGGTTTTGATGGCATTGAAGGAAATGAAACAAATTGATGCAATTTTTATGCACCACAACAGAAAATGTAACATCACAGACCAAACTTTTATATATTTCATATTTCCTTAGGTCAACTTGCCTAAGTTTGAAATGAATTGTCTTAAAGTCTCTTTAACTTTAAATTGGTGCATTGTTACTGGAATAATTTGATATTGGTAATGCATATGAATACTGTTGAACCTTTTTCACTTTGCCCAGTGTTATTTACATTACATGAGAGAGTAGCCCTGATATTTTAACTTTTTTTAATTATTATATAACTGAGTAGACTGAACCTTTATTACTTTTTCGCCGAGAAATAATCGATGGTTTCTAAGGAGTACGAAAATGTGAAATGGTAAGTTAAATGTATGAATACCTGCTTATAAAACTTGAGAGCAATGGTTTAAAACTAGTTTTGTACAGAAAATGGTCAACTTTTCACCATCGAAGAGAAGCTGATAACTAATTGACATGGAAATAAAAAAACACTTGTTATCAAGTTTAAAGAAATAAACAAAATAACATAAATTTACTTTAATTTAATATGAAGGAAAGACCATGTATAGTTAGACTTCTATGATATGAACTAGAATTTCAAAGTGTACTTTACAACTGTACTACTATATTAATTGTAATTCTGTACTTTACAAATTGTAAAGTGATTTAATAGTAGTGATGAAAGATAGAGACTGAATGGATTACAAGATAGCCTGAATTATTACTTAAAGCTCCTCATTTGATGCTGTAGAATTTGTTATTTTGCTATTTGATATAATGCTTTGTCTGTTGTCTTGTTGAAGCATTGTATAAAAAATCAGTGGGAAATTATGTTTCAGTATTGAAATTTATTTCAAAAGAAAAGCTGTTCTGATACATTGTAAAATTCACATTTTTGTTTATAAAAGTTTACTATTTAAAATAAACCTATGCAGAATGCACCTGGATAATAGAATTATGTTATTTGCCATCTGAATCTCACTTAGAATTTTGAAATTACTGTAAATTCAGGAATTATTGCGTGCATTTATTATTGTGAATTTTGTAGAATGGACTAAAATGCAAGATTATTTATTGCGATTTCATGAAAATCAGCATGCAGTTAGATGTATCAGATATAAGAATGCAAGTTCTTATTATTGCGATACTCATTCAGTCACATTATTCGCATTAATAAAAACCTCACATTAATTTCTGAATTTACAGTAAACAAAATGTCCCGTCTAACATTGTTGAAATATCGCATTGTATTATTGTATTAATTACAGAGGCACCATTTAGCTTATCTTTTTGGTTGTTTATTTTCTTTATTCATTATGGATTGTTTTCAGAATGTCACCATTTGAGACATTTCAAAAGAAATAGGTATAAGCCATTTATTTCCTGAAATACATCAGCTGAAACTGAAAGTCATTCATTATACTCAAATACAATGTAAAAGTAACACTAGAATTTTAGGAACATAGTTATACCACCTTTAGTGATAAGAGAGTATAGTGCAATGGGAGTGTACATGTGTCAATGTCTTCAGGTCACACTGTCAGTGTGCACCTGTCATCTTTCCTATAGTAATAATTGAACTTTGTCATTTCTTTATAAATTTCCATTTGAATATTTGCCTAAACCAAGGAATGGATTTCAGTAAAATATTCAGAGATTTTGCATTACATATCCTATTAATCTTTTGATCAGAAAGATTTCTTGGCAGATTCCTCAGCAAAATATGGACTTTGCCATTTCTCTATATCTGGATGAGAGATCACCTATGTACAGTTGCTTTTAAACCAATGGAACGATTCAAAACTAATCAAAGATACCAGGCTTATAATTAAGTACACCAGACATGTCTTTTGTCTACATAAAACTCACTACTGGTGCTAAAATCAAAACAGTTAGAAGGCCAAATCAAATACTAAGAGCATTTAAAACTGAAAATTCCAAAAGTTTAAGAAATGCTTTTGTACACCATCTATTTTATCTATTGATGGGAAAAAAAATACAAGATTCCCCTTTTAAGATTAACAAATGCTATGTGTCTATATATGCTTAATAGGGGTTATAATTTTCTAATAAAAATGCCAGCAAGGATTCGTATATCAGATTTGTGGTAGGAAAGATTAATGATTGAATGCAGACCAACAGATAGTCATTAGTAATAACATTAATTGTACCAATTTTACTGCACCAGATGGCATTTCAACAATAAGTGTCTCTTCAGTGATGCTCAAGTAGAAAATATTTGAAACCCTAAACTTATATAAACGTTGAAGAGCTGATCAAACTTAAAAAAAAGACCTAACGTATAGCAAACTGTATGTACAATGAACAGAAAGTAAACTGACCTTTTCTTATAGGTTACCTGACATTTGTTTGAGTAAAAAAAAAAAAAAAATCAAATATGAAGCTTGTATCAACTACAGGCATTTGCATTGGGAAACATAATCACTTTGGATTTAAAAAAACATGGTTTGTGTGGAGCCTGCGACTTTTGTTGCAGAAAGCTTGACATAGGGATAGTGATCCGGCGGCAGCGGTGGCGTTAGCTAACTTCTTAAAAGCTTTATATTTTAGAAGGTGGAAGATCTGGATGCTTCATACTTTGTATATGGATGCCTCATGTTAAGAAGTTTCCGTCAGTCACATGTCCAATGTCCTTGAACTCATTTTCATGGTTCAGAGACTACTTGAAAAAAAAGTTCAGATTTTTTGTAATGTTAAATTCTCTCTTATTATAAGTAATAGGATAACTATATTTGGTATGTGCGTACCTTGCCAGGTCCTCATGCCCGTCAGACAGTTTTCACTTGACCTCGACCTCATTTCATGGATCAGTGAACAAGGTTAAGTTTTGGTGGTCAAGTCCATATCTCAGATACTATAAGCAATAGGTCTAGTATATTCGGTGTATGGAAGGACTGTAAGGTGTACATGTCCAACTGGCAGGTGTCATCTGACCTTGACCTCATTTATGGTTCAGTGGTTATAGTTAAGTTTTTGTGTTTTGATCTGTTTTTCTTATACTGTATGCAATAGGTCTACTATATTTGGTGTATGGAATGATTGTAAGGTGTAAATGTCTAGCTGGCAGGTGTCATCTGACCTTGACCTCATTTATATGGTTCAGTGGTCAATGTTAAGTTTTGGAGTTTTGGTCTTTTAATGCCCCCCGTAGCGGAGGGGGCATTAAGTTTTACCCTTGTCCGTCTGTACGTACGTCCCAAAATTGGTTTCCGTTCTCTAACTTTAGTTTGCCTTAACCAAATCTTATGAAACTTATACACAATGTTTATTACCACAAAACACAGATCAAGTTTGAATTTTGGTGGCGTCACTTTTACCGTTCTAGAGTTATGCCCCTTTACAAATGGAAAAAATGCTGAATTTATCGTTTCCTTTCTCTAACTTTAGTTTGCCTCAACAAATGTTATGAAACTTATACACAATGCTTATTACCACAAAACACAGATCAAGTTTGAATTTTGGTGGCATCACTTATACCGTTCTAGAGTTATGCCCCTTTACAAATGGAAAAATTGCTGAATTTTTCGTTTCCGTTCTCTAACTTTAGTTTGCCACAACCAAATGTTATGAAACTTATACACAATGCTTATTACCACAAAACACAGATCAAGTTTAAATTTTGGTGGTGTCACTTTAACCGTTCTATGAGTTCAGATTTGTAAGTATGATTTTCATTATTAATTAGATCTGGAAAATATCTTAGCATATGATAATCATTGGAGTGACAGATTTATTTGAAAATTTTCTGTAGGTCCTGGGACTATTATACTAACTATGATAGTCCCAGGTAGGACTGTATATATAAAGTTTGAAATTTACTAGTAGGACTTGTATAAATGAAGTTTGAAATTTACTGTTCATTATTAGACATTTTGTAGATAATTAAGTCTCCCTAAACCATATATATTCTTACCCCCAACCCCCTTCAATTTGAGAATGTGCTTTTATCTTGTAAATGGTCAAGATCTCCACCCTGAAACCATCTATATTCTTGTATGGGACAATAAAACAAATCAAATGAAATAAAAGGCGAGTCCCCTGGGGTCACCCCCACCCCCTCCTGTTTGAGTACTTGTAAACGGTCCAGATCCCCACCCCTAAACCATATATATTCTTGTATGGGACAATAAAAAAATCAAATGAAATATAGGGGAAGTTCATGGGGGTAACCCCCCCCCCCCCTTTTTTTTATAACTTGTAAACAGTCAAGATCCCCACCCGAAACCATATGTATTCTTGTATGGGACAATAAAACAAATCAAATGAAATATAGAGGAAGTCCATGGGAGTAACCCCCACCCCCCTTCTTTTTGAAAACTTGTAAATGGTCGAGATCCCCACCCCTAAACCATATATATTCTTGTATGGGACAATAAAACAAATCAAATGAAATTTAGGGGAAGTCCCCTGGGGTAACCCCACCCCCCTTCTTTTTGAAATCTTGTAATCGGTCAAGATCCCCACCCCTAAACCATATATATTCTTGTATGGGACAATAAAACAAATCAAATGAAATAAAAGGCGAGTCCCCTGGGGTCACCCCCACCCCCTCCTGTTTAAGAACTTGTAAACGGTCGAGATCCCCACCCCTAAACCATTTATATTCTTGTATGGGACAAAAAAACAAATCATATGAAATAAACGGCGAGTCCTGACAAAACTTTACAGTAATGCTTGAAATAACCACTATTACAAAGGGAAAAAATCACATTTAGTTTATTCAACAAAAAAGTCTTCTTTAGGTGTAATACCACCAAATCATAGTATGTCACATCTGGTTGCATACGAAAAAGGGTAAACAAAAAATATTCCCTTGAATTTGACAGTTGTAGGAAATTAATCCTACATTTCATTACAGTAAAAAAATTCTGAGTCATAAACATATATCTTGGGTGTTTCAAAGCACCCTTATTTTTTTATTTGGTGTTTCTATAGAATATTTTGGAAACTTGAGGTTACATAGTTACTAAAGCTTGTACACAGGAAAAAAAGGGGTGAAAATTTGATTGGTTAACTTCCAGTGATGGTTATTTTCTTATATGCAATGAAATGTTATGTGAAATTTTGTCTATAGTACTGGACAGGATAGAAATTTACTCATGCCAAGTATTTCTTTATTTGAAACAAAGATAAATTCTGCACAATTTTTTGAAAAGTGCAAATTTAACAAAGACTAATAGGGGAAAATCAATGGTGGTATTACACCTATAGGTATCTTTGAAATCTTAATCTAAACCTGTATTACTTTTCATTATTAATAAGATAATACCACATTGAAGTCCAAAGGGTCCTAAATTAAATTTTTGTTTAATTTCATCAAAAATTGAATTCTTTGGTTCTTTAATATGCTGATTCTAACAATGTTTGAATGTTAAATCATATCTAATTTTAGAGAACTTAGTCATCACTGGTTGTTGTTATTATATTATTGATTATAATTTGAAAAATTGCATCATATCTTATTTTAGAGAACTATTTATCCAGTTTGAGTTAGTTATTTCTCTTTGCACAGAAAATATTATGGATAAAATTAACCTGTGGTTTCATTTCAACATAAATTAAATATATATTTGTATTTTACCTGGATTTGCATCATCTTGCCACATTTATGAGATTTTAACATTAGTAAACTACTGTTGCCTCAGAACTTATATTAAGATTTCTACAGGTACAGTCGAATTTCCAAACCAAAACTTTGGATCTATGAAAGAATGTAGTAAAGATTTTCTTCAAAGAGGTAGAATATACCAAGGGGACAATACAAAGTCTTAAGAAAAAAAGGACAAAAAACAATACCATTGCCAAAAAGAAATAAGACATTTAAAAAACGCTACACAGAAAACTATGCCCTGAGGAACACCATCCCCACCAAAAACCAGAGGTGATCTTATGTGGTCCAGGAGGGTAACCAGATCCTTCT